TGGTATCATTGCACCAAGTTATTTTGTGCTGTATTCTAAGTGGAATGTATTTCGTTAGTTACCAGACACACAGGTCATCCTTATAAAGTGGTTGTCTTTCTGTGTTGTGCCATTTACAGGTATGACAACAACAACAACATGTTTGGTTTGGAAGCAGTTTCACATTCTACTAGTAATTCACAACACTACTGTCATTGGCTGTCTTCCATTTGTCCAATGACTTTTCACAATGAGTAAAGCATTCAAATGTCTTCTCTAAAGTCTAGCTATCATTCATTAACAATTGGAACTACTTTAAACTCCGTGATTCACTTTGAAGTGATGAATGAGACAAGATTGTGTGAGATCATTATGTGTGTGTGTGTGTGTATATATATATATATATAGTTAAGTTTGTGTCTGTTTATTAGTACCTTTCAGTCCCTATAATAGTAAGCCTATAAAGATATGGAATCAGCATACTCAGGTTTAATGTTTGTGACATCACATTTTTAGTGTATGTGAAAACTTTGTAATTGTAAACTAATTTTTCCACAGAAGATGGACTGGATTTTTGGTCTGATTTAAGTGAAAATGACATGAGAAAAATATGTGTGTATTTTATAGAGAAGTGTGCTACCATTGTGGTGTCACAATAAAAATCCATCAAATGCTGTCATGTCTACTGACAAACAAGACCAACTTTCCTACAGAATAGACAAGTTGAACCCACAAAATTATGTAAAAATAAATTGGTTTTTATTCATTTTATTTCGGGAAGGGAGAGGGGACATAGGTATGATTAACTGATGCTGATTATGTACCTCAGAGTTAAGTGTTGAGAAAAAAAAAAATCTGATTGCTAATCACAAGCAATAAAACATATGCAACAGAAGCAATAGAGACTCCACAAGAAAGGGAAATACACCTTGACAGCCAATGAAAAAGACAAGCTACTCATCATCAAGCCAAGACTGAGCAAGAGTGGCAATTTTGTTTATCCAGATGCATTTCAATGACTGTTTAGGGGATGGAGTGAACTATACAATAAATCTATTTCTTTAATTTTTTACACTCTTAAGCCATTTATCTCGCAGAAAATGTGACCATTTGACATGTATTATTACATGAAAAGCAAAATTTTGCTCCTTTCTGTTTGAAAATAGCTAAACATTGATCATCTGTTCAGGTAATACCTGGGCAATGCCAAGTAAGGATGGCTAGTATATAATTTAGGCTGAAGGACAGTAATTTGCATTCTAGATCAATTGACTAATTAACAGATGGATGATTGTCTTAGCAAAAATTGGGGGGGGGGGGGTTATAGTCATTGTTTTATAAGAACAACATTTGCCTTTTCATAACTATAATATTACAAATTCTAAATGTCCATGGGCTTTGAGCAGCATTTTATTTTTATCTCATTTCTTTTCTAACTTAGGTAACATATATTGCAATATTTGTTAGTTTACACCTGCCTTTTATTAGATATATTTAGTGTATAGTGCACTGAGTTAAAGTTGAACATGGTGTTATGGTTTTATTGTTATATTTTTTAAGTTCTTAGTAAAATTGTTATTTTATTTGTTCTACTTTTGTTTGGTATGGATAGGTGTGTTTCAGGCATATTTAACTTATTCTAAGGTTATGTGTTTGTTTAAAGAATTTGTCAAATAAATGTTCAGGTAATGGTTCACTTTTTTTTTACTTGATATATTGTAAAGTTTCTAATGATGATTTAGTACTCCTACAAGCTATTCAAAAATGTCAATCATTTATAAGTTGAACATAATATATTTATAATTCTAAAAACTTTTGAGTGAAAGCAAAAAAGAATAATAACATGTCAGCCACATTAACTTAAAGTTCAGTAATAAATATAGTAAACATCTGAATATCTTGTCTCCAAATGTTCAGTTGTTATTTATACAAACTTCATATTACACACAGTTATTGTACAATAAGGCAGTAATTTATGCATTACATGCATATACAATTTACAAATTAATATTTTAAGTCAGAAAAATGGAATTTGTAATTACCTCTTCCATATACCATTTTTTTTGTGGTCACTCTTCATATTTTACTTTCTTTCTGTTCTGTTCCTCATCTGTTTGTCCCATTCACTTCTTTTTTGAGTTCATATAAATGCTGAGCCAGTTTTCCCCTTAAAATTATTTTCACCAGTTGGTAGTTGTGATAGACTGGCTGATTTGTCAACTTGTAAGAACACTGTTGATCATTATTATCTTTGAAAGTGACCACATCCACAATGGGGCAGTCCTCAGATGAAATGATTAACACTCCTCATATGTCCATTTAGTTGCTATGAGATGAAGCTGAATGAATTTTGCATCCAAATCTCATTTTCATTGAGGACATCAGTAAAGATCTTCCTAGGACAGCAACCAGAACTTCCTCTTATATGGAGGAGGACTGTAGGTTAAATGTTTAAAAAATTAAATTGGCAAAGCATAGAGTATAGTAAGATTTATTTAAAGTAGAGAAATGGTGTGGTGGAGAAGTTGGCACTTGAAAACAGTTGTAGATACTTGTTTAAGAAATTTAAAAATATTTTTGTTCTCATGCAACTGAAATGAGAATGTGCTAAAAATGTGCATCACTTGTGAATAACTATGCTGTATGGTCAAATACTCATAACACTGGAGTTTAGTACTTTAAGATTAAAAGTGTGTTTTATTGAAACTGAACTTCAACCTTTGGTTTACAAGGCTTGTATCTAATTCTATATAATGAGTTTTGTATGTGGAGAAAGGCTGAGTTCTGGTAGTTAAATGTGTGAGTAAAATGTTGATAATATAATACAAGAGTATTGTTAGTATACCTACAAGGGCAACTAGTATCCAAAGCTTTGTTATAGCCTTTATCACTGAGACTCGTTTTGAATGAAAATCCAAGTTTGAATAAATTCAAGTCTGCAACTTGTTTGCTGAAGTTACCACCTTTAGGTATTCCTTATATATATTGATGGCCATGCTAGCTGAATTGCACAAATATGTTGTCAGGTTAAAAATTCATAGTTTATAAAAATTTGTTTATTTTGAAAGCGTGATATTCTTTATGAGTGACATTGTCATCAAAACATCTGTGTTTACTAATACAAAACATTAATTTTTTATAATTCTTGTAACATGTTTAAATTGCTAATGATGAATTTTTCAATTTTATCAGTAGGAAGACAGATTATAAAAAAACATCAAATGTTTCTTTTCTTTCTTTAATTTTCTCGTGGATGAATTTATGCCAATTCATTCTTGGTTAGTATTATAGTATTTGTTTAAATACTTAATTTGTTTTGCACATTTATCAACTAAAATTCAAAATCCTTAGTCATAACTTTTTTAGCACTGGTGGAAATGACCTGTTAATTGACCAGATTGCCATCCACATATCATTAATGTAGCTCAGATTTGAATATGTATGTTTATATTTTTCTGTAAACAACCTTTCATCAGTTTTAATATGTACAAGTTATAGTACATGTAGGGTGCGTTAACATGACTAGGACAGTCTTATAATGTAATGTGTTTATTAGGACAGTTTTATAGTTTGTTCACTTGGACAATCATATAATATAGTATGTTCTATAGGATAGTCATATAGTATTGTGTGTTCTTTAGGACAGTCTTGTAGTATAGTGTATTTACTAGGACAGTCATATAATATAGTATGTTCTCTATGACAGTCTTATAGTATAGTGTGTTCACTAGGACATTCATATGGTGTAAAGTGTACAGTTTGTAGCATAGAGTGCTCACTTGGTCAGTCTGTAGTGCAGAGTGTTCACTTGGAATGTCTGTACTGTAGAGTGTTCAGTAAGATGGTCTGTATTGTAGTGTTTTCAGTAAGATGGTCTGTATTGTAGTGTTTTCAGTAAGGAGGTCTGTATTATGACAGCCTGTAGCTTAGTTTGTAAACTAGTATCACCTGTTGCACAAGACATTCAGTAAAGCAGACTGTTTGCTTTATAGCTTTGAGCCAGCAGATATATTTACCATGAGTCACACAAAGGTTTATTTTAGGTGGCTTGCTGGGATAGAAGTATCCGTGTGTATACCATTTGGTGAAGGAAATAAAGGATTTAAAAGTATTTTGTGACTTATTAACAAATTAATATTCATTGTAATTTATGGAATATAATTTTTACTTTTATCATTCTATTTAGTGTAATGCAGGTGTTTGCAAACTTTCTCAGCACAAGGGCCCAGAGAGCATTCCACATCCTGACAGAAAACACACTCCACCTAATGAATCTGTAGATACCTAGAACCTTAATACTTTCTTGCACTTGGTGAAATGAATGAATAAGACCATAAATACTTTACTTGCATGTACATGTTCAGGTTATGTCATCTCTGTGTAAGATAGATGACTGCTCCATATTGTTTAATATTTGTAAAATGGTGTATGTAATGATTTATTGGAAATATGTTTTTTTAGGACTACGAAGAAATAGTGTTTAATTCTTTGGATAAAACTAAGCTGAATTATTTCTGGCATCTTCATGTCCAGAAACGTTCTGTAGTAAGAAATTTCAATATTTCTAAATAAAAATACTCAGTGTAGCTTTGTAGCACTGTTTTAGCTTTGTTTATGTTAGTTTCTGCTGGTAAGCTTCAGTTGTTAGTCACCTGTACTGTGATTCACACTTAAAATACAGAAAGTTTAATCAATGTTTTTATACAATTCAACAATAGAAACTTAAACATGCATTTAATGTTTCCCTAATTCATAAGATGAAACTTTTTCTCACTTTTTTCTGATAAACTTACTTTGTTTTGTAAATTACAAACACAGTTTTAAAATCATGAAAACATTTACAGCTGGGTGATGACACATCAAGTTTTCTCCTAAAAGAGCTCTTTGCCATGTTTAAGATTGTATGTATAAAATCCTGGTATCTTGGAATCATTATATTTTACAATTATATAGTATTTGTAATACTTTTGTTTCATTATAAGATTGTTAGTAATACTAATTTCTGTAATACTTTTTTTAAGGTTAGCTGAAGCCAAAAAGGAAGAAGGGAATGCTCTTTACAAGAAAGAGAAGTACAGGGAAGCAATTCCTTTCTACAGTGAAGCTATTGGTAAGAGACAAGTTTTATATTGTTATATAGCAGGCTTTCCACTGGATTTTTATGATACACAGATGTACTGGAAAAAAATCAAAGCAGTAATGATAATTTGGAGTTTAATAAACACAGATAAAATGTTAAGAGGTTATTGCTAAAGCTTTTTTCCTTGAGAACTGATACTGTTGGCTTAGATGTCCATAAAGAGGTGATGCTGGTTTGCATATTCCTGAACAGAGTTAATTTTCTGCCTTTTTATTCCAAAACAGTTATAGTTCAGGCTACATAACTAGATAAGGACATATTATAGGTGTTGAATTGAATAATAAGTTTATACAGAGAAAGTGTTTGTTTGAAAGCTACATTCTCATGCTTTCTTTTTTTATTGCTAAATACCACAATACTTAATAGTCAGTAGCACCATCAAGAAACAATTTGCTCTCTCAATTAATGTTTTGTGTTTGAGTGTTGCATTAGATTAACCTAATCATTGTTCAACATTCAACCCTTTTGGTGCATAGTTTGGATATATCTGAATAACAATTTGCACCCACTGACTGCAGAATTTGTATTTACCCCACGGCTACCAAAACAAGTTCCCTCCACTGTGACATGCAGGAATATCCTCCTGTACTTGAAGCCATTGCTAAACCTGCATGCATGCTGACATCTGTGTTCTACACCATGAAACCTGGATGTTTATATGCCTCATTCCAAAATTGCCAACTTTTCAGGAACACATACAGAATCTATATAAAAACAGCTTCCGTATGTCTTGGATATTGTTATCTAAATAATTTGTAATATATTTTGTAATGATATTGGCCTCTTACTGACATAGTTTTCCTTGTATTTATGCAATCTACTAGAGAACACTTTTCTTCTAAGTTTCCTCAATTGTTTATTTAAATCATTATTTTTCATGATCCAATACAGTTTTCAATGAATATTACTGTCAAACATAGAAAATACAGCATTTTTCAATATTGAAAAAGTAATACAAAGGGTCAAATTCATACTTTTATTTTTTGGTGGATAATTTACACTTTTTGGGAATAAGCCTGAAAATTAATTGTGCAGTGAAAGGGTTAAACAAAATACTAACTCATTACACATGATTTCTAAAAAATAATTGATAAACATTTATATTAAAATAATGCACAATATTACCTGAAACTTGTGATAAGTAAAATGACCTGCTACTCTATAACAGTATCATAATACCGTTGAAATACCAGTATATGTGTGTTATCATATAACAATATCACAACCATCGAAATAGTGGTGTTGATATGTGTGCCATTATTTAATGGTATCACAACACTATTGAAATACCAGTGCCAACATGTGTCCATTTAAAGTTTATAAATTGTTGGTTTATAATGGGAAGTGACTAGTATAAACATCATGGTATCTTTTACAAGATAGCAACAGTCATAAATAAATCTGTACTTTCAAGTTTATAATGGGAAGTGACTAGTATAAACAGCATGGTTTCTTTTACAAGATAGTAACAGTCATAAATAAATCTGTACTTTCAAGTATTATTTTTGTAGTTATGTTAAGTAGAATTTTTGGCTTAGCAGTGTATATTCTTTAGACTCTGGTTTCAGCAACTTGGTATAACAAGAATTTGTAACTTTACAAACTATTATAAAATGAGTTGATATTTCAGTTTTGGAAAATAATAAATCTTGAATTTCTGTAAATGAATGAAAGAAGCTACTTCATTAGCAAGCATATAAAATAATCACTTTAATTAACATGTATGAAGATAAAACAGTATACATGGAACATAATTTAAAAATATGAAAGATTTTGATGACAGAAGAATCCCATCATTGTCATTATGTTCGTCTAAAATTTGACCTGACTTTCTAAACTTGTTCGTTAATTTTTCTTCTAGAAAATGTGTGTTTGTAATGGGAAAGTGATAGATGTATGTGACAATATATCGAAATGAGCTAAAGAACTGTTGGTAAGGCTCTTGGGAACTGAAAGTAAATGAAGGAAGTGTACATGTCTACTTAATATCAAAATTTAATTTTCTCAAGCAACTCTTGTAATATATTGGTAACCAGATTTAACAGTGTAAATAGTAGAAGTAACAAAATGTAAGATAAAGAAAAGAAATTAGATTTTAGTGTATTTGAAATTGCCCTTTTCTAAATATATCTTAACTTTAATCATGCATTTCATTCCACCACTTCTTGTATTAACGGTTTTACATATATTTTGCTTGTCTCTGCATAAACTTGGTGTCAGACACATTATTCCTTGTAAGATAAGTATATTTGACTTACCTAAATAAAAGTAAAGACATTCAGCTTGCTGACTGTTTTATACATGTGATATGTACCAGTTACATTTTGAAATAGTTTCTCTTTTCCTAATATAGAAATCTCAATGCCAATTTCAGTTTGAACTACACCTTATTAAGTATCATTCTTTAAATGAGAGTACTAAAGAACCAGAGCTGTACAAGTTTCATAGTTGATGAAGCTAGACAAATGTTTCTTAAACACTTGTGCTTTTGAACACCAGCCTGGCTGATTTCCAAGTTTACAATTCTATTGAAGGTGCTGTATATAGTGACAGGCTGTTTGCCAGTGACTGTTCTTCACTGTAGTAATGTTAGAGAGAGAGATGTGTCAGTCAGTTTGTAATTGAAAACTATTTTTGTAGCTCGTATTCAAGTTTGTAATTATGTTGTAAAATGCTTACAATTCTTTTATGACTTCTTTTATTCTATTTAAAGTAGTGAATTTAACTTTTCAGGAATTTTTTTTCTATTGTCGATTTATCTGGTACTAACTTCAAATAGTTCTTTCAGCAGTTATTTTAGGTAGCTATGTTTAAAGTGTTTGTGTGTACGTTACATAATAACATCAGAGTTTGAAATTGCATTGTTAAAAGCAAAGGGGTGAACAGTTGAGATAATAACAGCAAATCCAGTTGGATCTTAATAGCTAAAGTAAACCATGTGTAAAATCTAGACAACTTCTTTTCAGTGAAGTTCTACATAATAAGGTTAAGAATTACACTAATTTAGGTTTAAATATTGTATGAGTAATAGGGTATATTGGATGAATAACAGGGCATATTCCAAGTTAAAATATTTTATTAGTCTGTATTTTCTAAGAAATTTGGAAGATAGAAAAAAAAGTGTAATAAAAAAATAAAATCAGTTTTTGTCTTGACATGTTGCCAAATGCTACAGTTTTCAATATGAATGTTTTCTTTAAGTTTTTTTTTTACTGCAGCTAGAGACATGGTGTGTAAAACATTCAAAACAAGAGTGGTTGAGACTTTTAAATAAAGTATTTAATGGGGTTTGCTGATTATCTGATTATTAAAAGGGTAAATTTAGCTTCCTGACTCTTTAATTTATAGAAGAATTTTATTCTATTTGCCTTCTGATGTAAATGAGAAAACATAATGAATTTGTCTATTGTTTTACATGATATTAATTGGTGCTTATGGGTAATTGATTGTGTCGATAAATGGGTTGGTACAAGATAAATTAGGTTTTGAGGGTTAAAACATGTAAACAACAACAGAGACAAGAAAAGGGCTATAGCCTTTCATTAATCCTTGCACAAAATCAGAAGCACAGTGTGTCACTTTATATTGGTTTGATTGCTTCTGTGCTAGAACCTTTGCTTTGCTTTAATTTTACTCGCACAAAGCCAGAAGCACAGTGTGTCACTTTATATTGGTTTGATTGCTTCTGTGCTAGAACCTTTGCTTTGCTTTAATTTTACTCGCACAAAGCCAGAAGCACAGTGTGTCACTTTATTATTGGTTTGATTGTTTCTGTTTCTATCTCATGGCTGTATTTTGCACACTCTGTAACTATGTAATTGCTGATGTAGCAAATGGATTCCTTACTCTATTCTGATGACAACTACTGTTTACATCAGAATGACAAGGCTTTGCTGCAGCATAGTTGAGAAGGGTAATATTCTTCACTGATTTTTGTCACAGATGATCAATATTATCATTCTGTGGCCTGTCACAACACCCACAACCATGAAATAGTTCTTATTTAGGACTCCTGTCTGCATATGTCAGTGTCTAGTAGCCAACATCCAGCAGGATTTTTTGAAGTTCAGTAGACATTTTGTTATCTATAGTCCACTGGCAGAGGCTTTTTCTGGCTGCTTTCAGACCTTCCACCACTTCCATTAGCATGTGTGAATTTTTTTATTAATTAATCTTTTTTATTGCTGTAAACCATTCTTAAGTTGTTTTTTTAAATTATATGAATCAGGGTATGCCACTGGCTCAAAGGTCTGACTGTGAGTGTTTGACATATAAATGTTGGGGACCACTAACATAATGTATGAAATATAAATTGTCATATTCTATATTGTGGGTAGTACATGTGATCTTTTATGTGAGTGTAATTATGCATTGTTGTGTTCCTGTGAGCACTTCTTTATGGTAATGAACTACTGAGCATGCTCATACCTTAGCAAAACAGCATGCATTTTGAAAAGTAATGTACAACATATTGTTAGTTTTTGCATATTTGAAATAAAATGTATTTAAAGAATACTTGGGGATAATATATATATATTTGTATTACTGAAAATGATAAGAGGTTACTGTGTTATGAAACCAAGGTACCCTGAACATTGGTAAAATCAAAGCTGATTTCTGGTGTGTATGTTTGTATTTCAAAGTTCACATCTTTGAGGGAGTAATGCGGGAGTTTAGTAAAGAAGTCTGGCACGAAGCCCATTTGAAAAGAATGTGTTTGTTCTGTTTTAGAACACAAAACCTTAACATTAGATAGTTGCCATTATTTCCATTTCCAGTGTTCATTCAGTAGATGGGTGTGAGTCATGAGCAGTATTTTAGGCCATGAGTCATTGTCTGTGTGATTTCTCTCAGATTTAAGTACTACACTTGAGTGTTTGTAAAAGTTAAGAGGAAAACACTCAGTGTTATAACTCTATCAGCTATAAGCTTCAAACCCTTATGTCAATGTTAAACATTTGCATTTTGTTGGCTTATCCCATCATATGTTGTAATATCACAGTGGTAGGGTAAAGATTAGTATATGATGTACGTGTAGGTTAAATACTGATTTGTGTAATTTTGTTGATGGATTTTTCAGAAAACACTTCGATATGTAACAAGAATTCAGACGTATACCATAATATCATCAAGATGTATAATATTGACATTTCTATAAATGTATCTGTTGTATATACAGATATACTTGTATGCTCTGTGATGAAATAATGTGACAGACTGACTTGCTGGCTGTTGTGCATGTACTGGTGTTGGGAATTGACTTGCTGGCTGTTGTGCATGTTCTGGTGTTGGGAATTGTCTTGCTGGCTGTTGTGCATGTACTGGTGTTGGGAATTGACTTGCTGGCTGTTGTGCATGTACTGGTGTTGGGAATTGTCTTGCTGGTTGTTGTGCATGTGCTGGTGTTGGGAATCTTTTGATACTCAAAGGTTGCCATTATGATGAAGTATTGTGACACATTGACTTGATAGTTACTGTGTGTTAGTGTTCGTAATAGAGCTTGGAAATTTAATTGGTATAATTGATAAATTGAAATTACAATTAAATTGATTAATATTGGGAAAATCAACTAATAAAAATTAATTGTTCTGACTATTACTGTTCTAGACTCTTTTCCACTATCCAACTATTTAAAATAGTTCCAATCTGAGTTTTCATTATTATTTTTGATTAACTCAAGGTTATGCATTTTAACCAGTTAGTGCTACAACTTATGAAAATAATCAACTAATCAAGATTGTTATTCAAGTCTTGGGAGAATAATTGATTAATGAGCCTGATTGATAATTAACTAGCAAATTCTATTAATTGCTGAGCTCTGATATGTAGTTATGAACTATACAATTTGAACTGTTTGTAACTTGGTCAGACAGAAAAATGTAAAATGTTAATTTACATGTATGCTATCCATGGCTCTAGTGGGAGAGAAGATATGCTTAATATTGTAATTAGATAACCATCTGTAGTTATGTATAATGCTATACACAAAGACTAGTTAAGTTTGTGGAGAAAGCATTAAGTGTTCATAACTGGCAATGTCTGGAAGATTCTTTGCATAAAAATGCAAGAATTCTTATCAGTCAATGTAACATAAAAACTTAATTTTGTGTGTAGGTGTATATAGATAACCAAGTTTAAAATGTCTGGTGTACACTCATTTGTTTTATTCATTTCTTGTGGATCTAGTTGTTTGTATTTTAACTTGAAATTACCTTGAAGAATATTAATTTAAAATCTCTGTTTACAAATGTGAAAGTTTTGAAATGAAGATGCATTCAATTAATATGTATTATTGCACTTATTTGATATGTAATTTTGTTGAATTTATAAAATTATGAAGCATATATAGCCATTTTTAGAAATATAAAAGTAAAAAAGCCACTTCACAGAAATATTGACTAGAACAAAGTGTATAGTCTTTGTGAGTGGTGAATAGTTCTATTGTCTCAGTTAGTAATGGTGTATGGTCTTTGTGAGTGGGGAATAGTTCTATTGTCTCAGTTAGTAATGGTGTATGGTCTTTGTGAGTGGGGAATAGTTCTATTGTCTCCGTTAGTAATGGTCTATGGTATTTATGAGTGGGGAATAGTTCTATTGTCTCCGTTAGTAATGGTGTATGGTATTTATGAGTGGTGAATAGTTCTATTGTCTCAGTTAGTAATGGTGTATGGTCTTTGTGAGTGGTGAATAGTTCTATTGTCTCAGTTAGTAATGGTGTATGGTCTTTGTGAGTGGTGAATAGTTCTATTGTCTCAGTTAGTAATGAGAGAACTGCAAATGACTAAGTTTTAAACACATTAGAAAAAATAAGGTCCTATTGGAAAGTTATTTAAAAATATTGTGACAAGTTCATTGCAGGGCATAATAACTGTTATTTTGTTAAAGGTAGTTCCTTTAAAAACATTGTAAAGGGGATTAGCTGAGGATCGTATTTCAAGAAGTGGAAATACAGAAACAAGTATATATATATTAATCTAAACCCAACAAACTTCATGGAATGTCTAATCTAGACATTAAAATCTAGAAAAGTTGAGTAAAATACATGCATCGTATAAAGGTAACATTGCTACCAAATTACAGTTTGTTACTTGATTATGAATTATTTTTGAGCATGCCCAACTAAACCTTAACAAACAAGGAGTTTGATAGGGTGAACTGTATTCAGTTGGATAGGATTGATATGTTCTAAGGACTTAAATTGTATTACTTATTATATATTGATCTAAACTGTAAAGGTTAAACCAACTGGACATATTAATTTTATACAGTGATAGAATATGACCTTTGATCTGTACCGCTGCTTCAGTATAGTAATGTAAGAATATGACCTTTGTTCTATACCACTGTTGCAGTAGAATAATGTAAAAATATGACTTTTGGGCTGTACCTCTGCTTCAGTATAATAATGTAAGAATATGACTTTTGGAGTGTACAATCACTTTAGTATAATAATGATGATGTAAAAATATGAATTTGGGCTGTACCTCCATTTTGGTATAGTAATGTATGAAAATGACCTTTGGTCTATACCACTGTTTTAGTAATAATGTAAAAATATGACTTTTGGGCTATACCTCTGCTTCAGTATAATAATGTAAGAATGTGACATTTGGTCTGTATCACTGTTGCAGTTTATTAATGTAAAAATATGACTTTTGAGCTGTATGTCCACTTCAGTATAATAATAAAGTATGGATATAACCTTTGGACTGTATGTCCACTTCAATATAAAAATGTAACAGTATGTTCTTTGGGCATTACATTGACTTCAGTATAATAATAATGGAAGAACATGTCCTTACATGTAGTAATGTAAGAATATAACCTTCGAACTGTACTTCTGCTTCAGTATAGTAATGGAAGAACATGTCCTTTGAACTGTACCCCTGCTTCAGTATAGTAATGTAAGAATATAACCTTCGAACTGTACTTTTGCTTCAGTACAGTAATGGAAGAACCTG